GGGTTGCGCCCCAATAAAAGGACCTTCTGCTTTTGCATCCAACTGGCTCCCAGTGTGGTATTTGGGGATCTTGGAATCTGGGCATAACAGGTTGACCTTGTTAGTGAAGATACTGACCTAGGATGTAACTACCCACCACAACTGCTTTTAGTTAACGTTTACTTTCAGGCCCTCCTTTGTGGTCACTGTAGGTCTCTGAGTTTGAAGACCGCCATGCAGGCCTCCCCTGAGCTTGTCAGGTCAGCATGTGGCCGCTTTCGTCCACAGAAGGAACAGATTAGTAAGAAGTAATCAGCACAGAAAAGGGGAAAATCATACATTTGTTTGGTGAAGAACCTTGAAGCAGAGGCTGTAGCTCAGGTCCAAACTCTAATAGGAGTAGAGGGAGAATAATATAGAGGTTTCCAATTCAACGTCTCATTGAATAGAAACCCTTCTGCAATAGCCTGACAGAGGACCACCCTGCTTATGAACAAGCCCTAGTATTTCAAAGGGAACCCTCCCCCCTCCCCCCACCCTCACCAAGGCATCCAGTTCAATGTCCAGGTAGTACAACTTGCAGGAGAGCTGTTATCTATACAATGAGCCCCAAATAGGAATGAAATGCCTTGAAGTTTCATGGAGAGCAACTGCTATAAGCAAGGCAGCTTGCATACTTCATTCAGTAAGTATTCACAGTCTTACACAGCGCATGTTACAATGCCCATTTTACAGAAGGAAGTAGGAAAATAGGAATTTTCAGGGATGTAATAGGCAGGTTTAGGGAATTTTTAAAATTAAGGGGATCCATGGAAAAAACACAGGACTACAGAGTTGCAAAAGTTTACATTTCCATCTGATAGGGGAGTTGGAAAAGGCAGCTGTTACATTTCCATAAGACAAGGGAACTGGGAGTAGCAAAATGTCTAAATTTAAAAAATAAAGAAGGAGGAAGAAAGCCCAGAAGGAATAGGAGAACAGTGAGGGAGGAGGGCCTCACAGTCTCAGGTGAGGTTTGACCTTTGAGCTCAGGAGTTACTATAGTAACCAAATCAAAGGGGAATACTGACCAATCAGAGGGGATATGCAGGCACAAAAAAACCCCCCAAACTGCAGCCTTTATAAACCTGGAAAAAGGAACTAGGTGGGACTCTTTCTCCCTCTCCACGTGGGAGTCTCTGCCTGTTCTTCAATTTCCACCTTTGCTATACCATCTTCCCTCTGTGGTTTCATTCTTCCACTCTGATGGACAAAGAGCCACAGGAAGCCATTCTGCCCAGGGGAACACGGCCTGTTCCAGTCCCCAAATCTCCTACCAGAAGCAGAGCCAGGATTCACTCAGGTTTGGTTCCATTTGAGGCTGATCAGATTAGCTATGTGTGCTTCCTGTTAGACTAATGGAAGAGGAGATCAGACAAGAATGAGATGTGATTATGAACTTTTAGAGGAAATAGAAATCCTGCAAAATTGATTGAAATCTAATCTAATCTAATCTAATCTACTCCACCTAAATTTAATGATAAAGTCTGGGAGTTAACTAGAAGTGGCTAAGAATGTAACAAATAGAACCAATATACCATCAAACTAAAGGATTGTAGCTTTGCATGATAAAAGAGCGATTCCATCAAAAACCAGCTGTCGCCCACCAGGAGTTAATTGGGGGGTTGGGGAAAGGAGTAGGTGAATGAGATGCTGAGACAATCCTCCGCGTGGTACTAGAGCCGTTGGCGGGCGGGGAGTGGCGCGGGGACCCAGACACCTCTGCCCACTGTGCGGCAGCGGGTCAGCTCCCCACCCACTCTGTGGGCTATGGTGCCCGCTCGCACCAACGTGCCTGCTGGGATCCCCAGGAGCAAAGTGAAATATTCAATGCTCTCCAGCACTGACGATGGACACATGAACCCTCAGAAGGACACTTTACCCGCTGAAGATGGCTGTAAACGCCAAAGCTGTCCCGGTGTGGCGAGATGGCACTTACTAAAGTGTCAGGAAAGCCCCGCTAAGATCCCCTACAAGGCCATTGCCTGCTTCGCCCTGCAGTTTTTGATAGGCGCTGTTCTCCTGACCACCGGCTGCCTCCTGCTGGCGGGCTACCTCAGCGAAGCAGGACCCAACCGGGCCATTGCCATTCTCATTGTGGGCAACCTGGTGTTGCTGCCTGAGTCTTACCACCTGCTCATCGCTTGCAAAGCCCATCGAGGCTGCCCTGGCTACTCCTACCAAGACCTTCCGGACTGTGGCGACTAGCCCCACCGCAGCCAGGAGAGTGCGCTGGGGCTGAGCGGAGCTTCAAGGCATTTGGCAGAAGCTGTAGAAATCCATGTCGAAGGATTAAGGAATTCTGCAATTTTGCAGCTACTTGCAAAACTATGGCCAGCTTTTATAAATCCCTACCCAGAATGTAAATTGAATTTATAATTAGACAAACAGGAAACCAGGGCATGCTCTTATTTTGATTTTCCTGTCCCTGGCTAAAACCCCTGTCAGGTTTCTCCACAGGAATATGAATAATGGCAGACTAGCAATATTGGTTTTATGGGAAAGTAAAAAGTCATTCTGTAGGACAAAATGTTGCCTCCTCCACCCTATTTAGAGCTGAGCATTTCTTTAAATGAATAGTTCTTATTAATATTTTTTATCTTGTGACAAATGGAAAAATGCAGTCTATCTAATTTCCTATTACTAAGTAATTTCTTTGGAAAATTTCTGAGTACCTTATCCCCCACACTTATCTCTAACTTGCATTCTGGATGATCTTGGTAAAATCACGTATCAACTTAGGAAAAGTAAAAAGCACTACAGTTGTGTTGGGAGGAGGCCCCATGAGCTTTAAGACAGAACTGGCTTTAAATCCAGATGCAAACTTTCTAGCTGTATAAGCTGACACAGTACCTTAGTGCTCTGACACTGAGTTTGGGACCATAATTTCTACTGTTTGGGGTTTCAGTAGGGGTCAAAGTATTTTAGAGTAACAACATGGCACATAGATGTTCCCCAAAGTGTTAATTTCTCACCCTGAAAGAGGCTTCTGCAGAAGACTGCACTCAAAATTAACTAAAGCCGCAGTGAATTGCATCTATCTACTGAAAGTTAACAAAACCCAAGAGAATTAGACTGCTCATTTGCAAAGTTATAATCTCAGTTCAAATCAGGACACTGCTTTGCTTTTTATTTGTATGAGCCTTTTCCTTTTGAGTTCTATATAGAAATAGGACAGAAGCTCATATAATTAGAAGGAGTCTCATGAGAAAAAGAATAGAAAATTAAGTGCAGGGCATGGCAATGGGCCTGTCCAAGGTGGGGGCACTAAAGCATAAGTCTCACTGGTTTCTGACAAATCTGGCTGTGATAGAGGTGAAGAAAGATGCAGGAAGCCGGACCATCCTTGCTGCTTGACACAGTCGCTGCAGGAAAGAAACATCTGCACAGCATATGTTTCAAGGGACCTGGCATATATAGCATACTGTTCTTAATATGTTTGCTCCCCTTAGCGCTAT